CATTCAGGTTTCCTCTGATCCAAACCCTTCATGACATCCCATTCTGAAGCTACACATCAGGAGATATCAAGCTACATATCAGGAGCTGTTATTCTGACAGCTTCTGGGTTTTGGCTTAAGTTTTTTTGAGGTTTCCTGTTTACACCCTGATTACTTTTTTCTTTCTCAGTTTTTTCCCTAACTGGATAACACATGGATGTCTAAATATACTGCACGTAACAACCAGCTCCAAACACGGAGGATGTTTCTGCTCAAGAGCAATAGTGTAAATATCCTGCATATGGGTTTTTTTCCTCAAATAAACATTCAGGCTCAGGATATCGCAGGGAATCAGTTGAAGTAGCCAAGAAGTATGTTGGTTTTTGTTTTTTTTCTCTCTGCCTTATTTTTCTCTTTTTAAAGTACTGATGTTTTGGAAAATTTGCCTCAGTGCTTTTAGGTGGGGAATTCGTCTTCGTTTTTGTGTCAGAAGCAAGATGGAGGAAAAATGTGCTTTTCCAGTTATATGAAACCTTTTTGAACATGTTAACCTGCTCTATAGAGCCACAACGTCACCCTGTGCTTTAATTTCCACACATGAATATTCTGGGGATTGTGTTTCTTCTCCTTGATCTGCCTTTTTTTTCTGAAGATCTGGATGAATCAGGTTCTTGCTAAAAGCAAGCGATGAGGGTTGCAGTATTTTAATATCACTGCATTTCTGCATCAGACAGCGCTTGTCTCCTTTTCATTCCTCTCCATTTTCAAGTTTCTATTGCTTATTGTATGCAGAACATAAAAGTGACTTTGGGAAGCAATAAGCATCCCAGTACCTCAGTATGGTTTTGCCAAAAATGGGGCCATGAGTTGCATCGCTCTCCTAATTTCCTGTTGGGAATGAGATACAGGAATAGTTCATGAATTTTATGACGCTACTTCTTTTAATGGATAATAGCTTTAAATATTAGCAGGCTTTTAAAAATAACTGCTGAAAGGACCAACTTGGGGGCATGTTGCAAAAAATATAACGAAATTGTTCATTTGTGCAGACAATGCAAAATCAATGAGAATAAACTGGAAAACACAGATGTGTGTATATATATCTCAAGACTGCTCACGCCACCTCTTAACTGAGCCAGGCAGCTGTGCTCATCTTGTGATGGACTGGTCCAAGTACATAGAAAATCAATTATATTGTTCAGATTAGCAAGGCGTACTGAATTAAAGATGAAAGAAAATGTATCTGCAAGGGGCCCACAGGGTGTTGGGTCTTTGGGAAGCCCAACAGCCTGAGAGCTGGGGAGCCAAGTACAAATCCCTTTCCCAAGCCAACAAGAGGCCCGTGAGCGGATGTGCTGTGGGGAAATAAATCACAGTGGTGTCAAGTCCTTTGCTGGTTTGGCTCCAGGAACTTAGGGTCTCTGGTCACTAGGCTGGAGGCACTCTTCCATAGCCAAAATCCTTTATGCATCCAGTGATATGCATCCCTATCCATGGCAGGGGGCTGGAATTAGATGATATTAAGGTCTTTTCCAGCCCTGACTATTCCGTGGTTCTGTGCCATGGTGGTGAAGTCCTCTGTATGAAGCTCTCCAGCTTTTCAAGAGGAGAGGACCAGACCATTGATACCTGTGCTGGAGCACGTGGCAGTGCTGCACTGTAGACGTCATACCTCTTCATCACTGCACTGCAACAATATGGGGCTAGTGGAAGGTGATTGATGCTCCAAAGCTTGTGAGGTGGTCTTGTAGCTGCAATAGCCTCTGAAGCTTTCAATTTTGCCCCTTCTGCAAGTGAGGCTTGCAAAATGTGAGGTTTGTCTTGTATGTAGGAGCCCTGCCTGCCCAGCAAGGCAGCTCCATGTGAGGAGAGTTGCCTCCTGGAGATGAACTCTCTGGTGGGCGGCATTCCTGATGCAGGTTGGGCTTGTGTTGCTCTGTGATAGTAACTGGGAATGATTTACTTGGGTGTTTGTAAGTACAGAGTAAGCCAAGTGAAGTGCTCTCTGCCCCATCAGGAATGGGGTGGGGATACTTGGAGTGAGCTCTTGCACAGCTGCAGGATCCAGGGTGCTGGTTGCTGAAGCCTCAGGTCTGCAAGAGAACTGCCCTACTTAGCACCACTTTGTTTAGGGTTTGGAGCCTGCAGATGCAAATCTGGTTGTCACCCTGGAAGATTTGTGTTCCCTGACTGGGCTGTGGTGCCACACAGTGAGTATCCTTCTCCCAGGTGAGGAAGGCACTTAGGAAGCATGTAGCTCTCAGGGATGTGTGCATGGGCTGGGGGTAGAGGGGTGCAAATGGGAATGGCTCCAGAGCCCGTCTTCCTTGAGCTACAGCCCTGGACATTGCTGTTATGTCCCACCATGTGCAGAGCGTTCCTGGGGTGACGCAGGCCCATGGCTGCATAGAGCTCTGGGGATACTGGGAGCTGACAGATTTGTCACAGGAATGGCATTTCATGGTGCTTTGTCACCCAGCACCCTGGCATCTCCTGCAACTTCTCGATTGAGCTTTCCAGTACTCTGGGAGGCAGCTGTATGACTTGTGATGAGACACCAGGAGATGCAGGTACTAAATGTTATCTGTATCTATATCTGTAAATCAGGATTAAAAGCTGTGTCCTTATGTTTTCTCATCAATAAAATTAGGGATAATTATATCTTGCCTATCTTCAGAGGTGTCATGAGATTTAATTACTTTTAAGGTGCTCTACAATTACCTTGGACAGCTGAATAGAAGCACAGATTGTGGTTGGTACTTCTTTTATGTTTTAATCTTCCCAGCCAACCTTCCTTTCTGCTCAGCACAAGTCTTTGTGGATGTGTTTGCTATAATAGAAACCTTTTATACTTAACAACAGACAACTGAGGCAATTAAAACAGTCAGAAGTGATTAATGTGATTTTGCTGGGTGAAAGCTAAAGCAGCTAGCAATTAAATAATGGCAACCCCTGTGCTATCTCAGAGCAACAGATGGGGAATGATTTAAAGACACTATTGGATCAGACACATTGCACCAGGGGCAGATTGGTACCAGTATGTCAGAGCCAGAAATATGCACCACCTTGAAGGGTGCGCTGATGAAATGATTAATAGATGGTAACATGTGACTTGGTTATGAATGTGTGATGGCTCTCAGGGACAAATGGACCTGTGATGGGATTGTAATGGATTTAAGGGCTTTAGGCAGCATGTTCTATGAGAAGATAAATCACAAGGAGCACACGGGAAGCCAGGATTCTGATGGCACAGCTTTGCTTCCGAAATCCTAAGGATAAAGTGCTGGGAATACTACCTTGCTGGGAGCACAGGGCATGGAGCTGGTGCATGTCTGGGATGATGTATGTGCAGCATTCAGCACCAAGGAGCGCACCCATGGCTTGCACAGAGGATGTTACATCCTTTGCTGTGCACCTCTGCCTGCAGGGCAGGTCGCTCTTCATCTGGCACTTCTCTACAGATTCACGTTCATGGACATGAAAAGGAAGGGATTTCTTCCAGCTAGACTCGCTCTGTGAACAGTCCTTTCACCAGTACTGCTGTTTGGGTGAGTGATGCGATGGTACATATTTAGTAGTGCTGTTAGTTGCCAGTGCCACAGATGCTGTAGCCCTGTTTTCCCAGACACTAGGCAGAGTTGTTCCCGCAGCTGCTCATTTCTGATCTGCTTGCATAGCTCCTCAGGAGGGGACTCCCTCTTGGCTTTTGGTTGAAATGAGCTCAATTAGTTGAAACAATAAAGCTTTGTTAATTTCCTTCTTACGACTGAGTGCTGACAGAAGAGGCTGTGTCTGGGCAGCCCTTGCTGTGTGAACAGCCATGTGCTGAAATGGGGACAGCACTGGGGTTGGTGAGAGGTCTCCTTTCAGTTATACTGCAGTCTTATACAAATTGTACTTACTTTTAAGACTCTATAACGTTTGGATGTGCGGCATCCTGGGGTAGGAGGTGATGAGGGGGTGCTGGTGGCAGTAGAGCTCAGCCCTATCTTTGTCGCCATCCCTGCAGAGCCAAAGGGATGTGAAAGGACAAACCACTGTGTTGCTGTTTAATCCCTGTGGGACCTCCTATCTAAGCAAACCACCCTCAGCCTCTGCTCACAGCTGAGGATTTATAGTCAGTGGGAAGCTTGTGCTGTCAGGAAATAAGTTACTCTGAGGCTGTGAGAATAAATATAAAAGCCAGGTTTCCTTCCCCAGCTCCTGCCTGGAGAGTGTTGCAAAGCCAGTCCTTGAGGAAGCTGCTGAGGGGCCCAGAATTAGAACAGATTTTAAATAATATAAAAGCTTTCATGGAAATGTATTAGATTTCAAAACGCAAGTACTGAAAGGGTAGAATGTGCTTTTTTAATGTGCTGTGTTTCTGAATTGCTCTCTTTTTAAAGAGGAAGACACTTTGTTTGCAAGAGGTAAATGTGACATGAAATAGGTGGTCCAGATATAACATCACAGGTTGCAAAGCTTAATCATTCAGTTCAATCGCCTATATAAGAATCCTATAGAGGCAATGGCTTCTAACAGTTGCAAGAAGCTATCCAAGGAAAAAAATTAATGTGCTGGCAGGCACTCCATCTAGAGTGGAGACCAGGTCCTTTGTTAATGGACCAAATCTAGGCTGACCCATTGCAGGGAGGGTTGGATAAATGGAGGTTTCATGGGTTCCTGGTCATGTCTGCTCCTCGCTGGAGCAAAGGGCATTGCTGCTGCCTGTGGCTGTGATATTAGCCAGGCTAGTCCATCCTCAAGTTAAATTCTTACAGCCTCAATGTTGGTTTTGTCCGATTCTGAATGCTGCTAAGCACCCTTAGTTCCAGCTTGAAGCTGATGGAAGCTGAGTGCTGAGGTAGCTCCCCAGAGTGAGTCCTTGGAGAAGGATGCTCAGGTAGAGTCGATTCACTTACTGGTACAGATTAGACACTTGCTACATGTTGTCCTTGCCCTTGAGCCTCATATGGTCCAGTGCACACCAGGAAAGCGGGGTATCCCACTCTTCCTCATGGGCTGTGTTGCTGTCTTTGCAGATGTCAGACGGCCGGCACTGCCAGGTGCATCTCCTCGATGACAGGACCTTGGAGCTGGTGGTCCAGGTACAGACCTTTCTCTTTAGGGCACTGGTAGCACAGTGCCAGATTTCTCTGCTTGTTTTCTTCAGCAGTGTTACTGGAGGCTCGTATGAAAGTGATGCTTGAAGTATCTCTTACTAGAGTAACTCATAGAAGTGGAATAAACAGGTCTGCTTTCAGATGCCATCAGTTCTGCAATCAGTTTTCCACCTGCTTTTGACAAAAATTCATAAAGTGTATTAAAAATACCCCCTGTGGTAGTGGTGGTTTGGTTAGTTGAGAAGTAAGTCTGGTTTTTGAGGGATGTGTTTATTCCCCTAACAGAACCCAAGGCACGAGATCCTGTAGTACATGATATTCTCTTAATTCACAAATCCCTCCTGCTGTAAGTGCAGGAAAGCCTGAGCTGCTGCCTTTCTCCCTCAGAAAAGAGGAAAGCAGCGGTCAGTCCGTGCACTTCAGCTTGATGTCATGGGTTAAGTACATAATTGCTTCTCTGTGCTCCATAGATACACTGAATCTAACTGCCTTGAACCTGATGGAGCCACTTCTGTATTGAGTTACACAACAGGGTTTTAAGTTGTCCATGGGTACTTAAATGTCAGTATTTTCAGAGAAAAATTTTATTACACAGAAAAAGCCCAGACTGAAATGAATTAAATCATTTTTATTCTTCCAATAGCCCAGACTTTTGTCTCAGGAGTTACTGGATCTGGTGGCCTCACACTTCAACCTGAAAGAAAAGGAGTATTTTGGCATAAAATTTATAGATGATACGTAAGTATGTTAGTTATACGTAAGTCTGTTAGTAAGCAATATTAGGAAAAGGGAAGGCACAAAGCAGAAAATATTTGGAAAATATCTTCTGTGCACAAACCAGAGAATACTTGGAAATACTTTCCTGATGACAAGCACTTCTCATGTTCGTCTCATAAGGTGAAAAAAAATGGTTCAGCAATAATTTCCCATGTGAACACCCTCCGCTTCCCTACTCTGCACTGTTAGTAACAGCAAAAAGGGTTTGCATTTATTTTCAAACTGAATTGCTCCTATTGCTTTGCACTTCAATCTCAAATATGTTAAGTCTTTTAAACCTGAATTTCCCTAGCAGCAACGAAATATGAGGTTAGTCCTTCCCATAAACAAGTTCCCTCTAGCTTCCCTATTACTTTTAGGTATCTGAGCTATTCTGCAGACAACCAAAGAGCTGCTAAAGCGGAACGTGCTCGATATGCACAATGCACCCTTCCCAGCAGCTGGACTATTGCAGGCTTGTGGCGGTGTTGGGTGCAGTTTGTCATCACCACCGATGGGAATGGTGCAGCTCCATCAGCTGCTGCCCATCCCCTGCCACCCAGAGCTGCTGCCGGGCTGGGTGAGATGTGGGAGATCTGCTTCCATGGTGTTAACTCAGAGTTAGCTAGATTAACTGAAGCCTCAGCTGGTGTTCAGGCTCATTTGTTGGCATGGCACTGAAATGCTTCCCCGTGTCTGCTGGGTGCAGAGTTTGCTCCCCAGGGCAAGCATCTCCAGAAGAGTTACTTGCAGCTCCCCCCAAAAGCTGGAGCAGAGCTGCTTAGGGCAGTGGGGAAACGGAGCTGTGCAGTAATACAGCCCCTAAATAAGCCTTTTCATGTCTAATGGGGATCTTAGTCCCTGCTGCTCTCCAGTGCTGCTTTTTATAGTGTCCTGGATGGAACCCTCTGCCTACAAACCGTGTCAGAGTGATGTCTGGGGCTGCTCTGACAAGGCTGTTCCCATCTGCAATTGCAGGCTCTGGGGAAAGGGCTGGTGTTGCAGTGCTAGTAGGAGCTGCTCACTCTGGGTCCCTGACCACAGGCAGCAGTGTGTTATTTTTACTAACCACTCTCTTCTTGGGCTCTCCAAGAATGTTTTTGCCACATCCTTGTCCTTTCAGCTGTTGGAAAGCACTTCCTTCCAGCTCCTCTGTGAATCCGTTGAGGATGCTGTTTGCATTTGGCTGCTGTGAAATCCTTCAGGTTTTTGGTTGCTGGCAGTCCTTCACCGTGAGCTTTAAAGTGCTCCCAGGGGATTACCTGAAAGCTGCTGGCTTCCATAGAAGCACTAGTGGGACTCCAGAGGCTGCTGTGGGTGTACAGCACTAGGCTGGCTGCTTGGAGGGAGCATGTGGCCTCTGGAGGGCACCCATACCCCAGGCTTCTGGGCATCCACCAGCTTCTGCAGCGCCCCCTTGGCTCCAGGGTCCTCAGGGAGGTTGTTGGGATTTGGGGATTTTTTGCTTTCTTTCTGGCTTCCCTCCCATTTCAGTCAGAGAAGCCGCTGCAGAGAGAGAGCAGTGTTTTAACACCTACCCCATTTAATGACTGTGCCTGCAGTAAACCCGTCTGCTCTGAACTGGGGTTTCCTGTCACACTGGGACTGGGGATGGTGCAGAACAGGAGGGATAGGTGGGATATGGCCATGCAGAGGAAGAGCTCAGACCGATTTCTACTGCAGGCAAACATCCAGCCTCTGCTGCAGATCAGATCCCCCCCACACTAGCAATGAGAAGTCAATGGAAGCATCCCCATCAATACCAAAGAAGGGTAATTCAGTAAGATCTGGCTTTCCTGGGTGCTAAGCTTTTGTGCTGCAGCTGAAAATACAACTGCAGAGAGCATTCTCTAACATCCAAAAGTGACCTAACATCAAAATCTGCATGTTACAAGAAAAGGAAATAATTTGAGATGTTTGCCTGCCTTAGAACTGAATCTCATGTTTTTGGAGTAGAGCAAACATGAGCACTGAAAACACCCCATTTCTGTGTTTCCCATCCCAGTTTTTAACCACCTCCCCAACCTGTTTCTGCAGAAATCAGAGTTGCTGGCTGCAGATGGATCAGAGAGTCCTGGACCATGACTTGCCCAGGACTCGAGGCCCAGTAATATTGTACTTCGCTGTTAGGTGAGTAATTGTTTCCACAAAGAAAAATTATCACTTGGGTTTATTTATCCTCGGGGGGGGGTGGGGGGTGGTGGTGTTTAAAAGAACTGATTACGGGTTTGATAAAGGAAATAAATGTCAAAGTGATGTATTAGTTTTAGGTGGAGTTTAAGTCCTGGGTAAGTGCTGCTCTCTTTTGTATGTAACTACGACATAAAGTACTTTGGAACCTGCTAGTTTTTAAACTATTAACAGGGTACTGTTCCTTTTTCTTTTTCTTTTTTTTTTTTTTGGTGCATTTAAAACCCTGTATTTTAAACATTTTCTTTGCCTGACTTCAGTCGTGCTAAATTTTCCTAGTTTTAAACAACTGTACTACTTTTCATCCTTGTTTACTCAAGGTTCTCCTGTACTTGAAAGGGATTGCCAATGGCTTCTTTGCTCACACAGTTTAAGCCAGTGCCCAGGAGGGAATAGAATCCCTGGCAAAGTGATGATTTTGGCCAATGTAATTGCATTACTTTAGGGCTTTTGCTGGCAAAGCTCTGCTGGTTAAGGGCCTGAAAAAAACATGTCCTGTGAGAGCGCTGTGCTGGCAAAAAAAGACCAAGCATCATATTCTTAATATTGTTGGAGTTTCTGTTTTCCTTACAGTCTGTGAGGAAAACGAGAGCAGACTGACCTCATTTGCTTTTCATATGTCACTAAATTTGTGCCTTGTGTGCTTAATTATTTGACGCACTTCCAAGGCAGAAGCAGTTGAGTACTTAGGTTGGTTGGCACCATTGCCTCATGTCCTCACTCCCCCTTTATCATTTAGGTCATTTAGGAACAGCCCAAACAAACTGCACTTTGTTTTGGCTGAATATGTGCTTACTGGTGATGGGGTTCAGAGCTTCTCTTCCCCACTTTTAAGAGGGAAAAAAAAATCCTGTTTTAAAAGGGATGATGGGCTCTTCAGTATATTCACTGTATTTGATGAGGGCGTAGGAGTGAATATATTGAAGGCAAACATATGACTTGAGTATTTCTTTGGCTGGGATTAATGCGTGATGTTCATTTTGGCCCTCCCTGTTGCATGATGGTCCTCTACAAGACAGGTTGTACAGAGACCTGGACAAGAGTTGATGTGTGAGAAGCGAGCTTGGAAAGATCAAGTTTTAGAAGCTAATTTTAAGCCTCACTACTCTGGGGTTATGAGATCTAGACCAAGCGAATAGGAGCCAGTGAGGTGGGCACTGAGCGAGAAGCAGAGCAGGAGGAGGATGCAGAGATAATTAGCAATATGAAAGCTGGCTGATCTGTAGGAAATAGATATTCAAGCAGAAAAGCCACTTCAAAACCTGCAGCTCCACTTTGTTAGAACTTTCTGGGTAAGTAAGTGACTCCAGGTCTTTGCCGCATGGCATGTGCTTTGGGTGGTTAGCTCAGACACTTATCTCATGTGAACACATTTGCCTCGTCATAGCCTTTTCTATAAACTCCCATGGGAGCAGCTGAATTACACAGTTGTGTGCACCCATGGCTTGAACAGGAAAGCATAGCTGGGTGTGGGGCAAGTGGCACAGAGGGAATGGGCAGAGCCCCAGCACTTGGCTCGTGTGCCCCTGGGCTGGATGGTCTCCAGATGTGGACGATGTGACAGGAGCAGGGCATCCCTCAGGCTGGATGAAATAGGCTCAGCCACGAGCAGAATGAATGCTGCTTTACAGTGTCACTTTGTTTGAGATGCAGGTGTAATGAGGCAGAGTGCTGTGCTGCTGTTCTCTTACAAGTGGGAAATGTGCCACAGCATCAGTTCTCAGTGTCTTTCAGCACCACACTGGACAGTTTCCAGTAGCAATACTGAAGGGGGGGGGGGGGGAATCCACCAGATTTTGCTGTTCAGTAATGAAACACACGATCAAATCCTTTCAGATGTGAATTCTTTTTCTTCAGCTGGCATAAACTCAGTCCAGTCACGTAAGCTTTCATATGCCACATGCAGCTGGTGAAGGGCTCTATAATGGAGATTTAGGACTCATAAAAGTGTCATTTTTGTTTCAAGGATGCTGACAGCGTCGGAAATAAAAGCAGAACATACATTTTATGGCGTTCCCAACATGCCTGTCATCCCCTGAATAACTCTATGGTCCAGTGTTCCCTATCTGTACTATGGTGATAAGAATGTGCAGCTTGTACCAGGGAAGAAAAGGAGCCTGTGGACCTGGCTGGGGCAGGGGACAACTGAAATCCACAGATCCTATGGTCTGTTCTGTACCACTGGTGACTGGGAGCTACTGCTCTTCAGAGCCAGAAATACCATCCTGCTTCTGAGGATGACAGCTATGCCTGACTCTTACTTAAGAGAAACTACAAATGCAAATGAGGCCATTAGTTGAGGAAAATGATAGTTTTGGTGCCGTGGAGGGAGGTCCATGCTGTGAAGGGCTGGGCTGGCAGCAGCACGGGAAAGGAGAGAGTGAGGCTCCTGCCCTTTGATGCTCTGCATTTCTGGAGAGAAACACTCGATTATGTTTGAAGTGAAGTTCAGTAAAGCTGAAAACACATCAAGTGGGATTAAGAGAAGGTGGAAATAGCTGTGGTTCCTACAGCTCTTGGTGAATGGTAATGGAAATGTAAAGTAGCCTTTCCAATGTCTGAGGCAGGCTGCTGGGCTTGGGTCTGCCCCTTGGACAGGCTGCATGCCAGTGAAATGGGTGAATTATTTCCTTATCCTGCAGAGGCATCCTGGGGAGTGCTTTAAAATTAATTTGATGGGACATGCCATAGGAATGTGAAGTATTAAAATGATTACTCTTTAAGGTATTGCTTGTCTTAAGTCAAAGCGTAAATACTGCATATGTTTTAACAAGAGCAGTAGGTGCTAGCTTTACTGCTTCCTACCATGCACTCCATGCTGGTGCTGTGGACCTCTTCCACCTCTTGCTGTGGATGTCTTACAAATCATTTACATCAAGAGTGGCTGGAGCCTGCGGCTTTGAGGAGCCTTGGGAGCACTGTGGGGCTGTGGGAGGGATTGGCCTGGTTCTGATAAACATAGTGGGCTGTGTGCCTCATGCTGGCCATTCAATCCTGCCACCATCAAAGGCAAGACACTGAGAAGCCCTGGTGTAGTCTGTGGTGGTGGCCCAAGTCCTTGCTTGGCTGAACTTGGCTGGAAAAAGTCTACCTTCTGTCTAGCATTGGTTGGGAGAGTCTGGACCCAATGCATTCATCCTCCTTAAGGAGCTGCAGAACAGGCATCCTGCTTGCAGATCCAGCTAAAGGAGGAGTGACAGGACCACATTCACACAAATTTGTCTCTCTAAATTGACTTGGCAGTTCCACACTCCCCAAATTATAGATGTTTTCTCTGCATCATTTGATGCATCCCAGCACTGTTTGGGTTGATGCCCCAGGTGAGTCAGAGAAGTGTACAGACAGGTTGTGTCTGATTTTTGGAGAGTGCCAGTGGCATCCGTGATGTTTGGTGTACTATAACAAACTGGGACCCATCTGCCAACCTTGGCTGGGCCAGAATGACCAGTAGTGGGATTGCTCTGGTTGGTGTGTGCCTCTGATGCAGCCATGGCCCTGTGAGGAAGCCAAGGCTGGGCTGGGGAGTAAGGCAGTGAGAGCTGGGCAGGATAGTGCCTTGTGAGGTTGAGCCCATTGCATCCCTTTCATGCAAACCCCTGGTTTTGAGGCTCCCATTGTTGTTAGGGTGAATGTGCATAGTAGGATGGAGTCAATCCCAGAGCATTCCTTGTCATTTTTATCTTGTTCCTGTTTGCTTGGAGCAAAGTTAATGGGGCTCAGCCCATGGCTGCTCTATGCTCCTGGAGGAAAGACAGTACTATGGAGCTGCTGCCAGCCCCTTCCCTCCAGCAACGTGCTTTTCCACTTCTGTGGCTTTATCTGCCTAGGAGGGATGGGTTTTGCTCCTTTAGTGTTTGGTTGGGTTTTCAGATGATAGGAAAAGTCATCAGATATCTACAGTCTATTGAACATGGAGTTTGTCATTCCCTGTGTGCTGTCGGCCTGTGATTTTCTGCTTGTTCCCTCCTAATAGCCAGGAAATTAAGTGCAGTAGCTCATAGTTCCTCTGCACCATCTTACTGCCAGAGAACAAAACACTGAGGAAATAAAATGATCTGGGAGGAAGATCTATTCAAAATCTTTCTATTCAAGAAAGTAACCCTTCATTTTTTAATTATTATTTAATTTTCAGGTTCTACATTGAAAGCATTTCCTTTCTCAAGGACAGAACTACCATAGAGCTGTTCTTCCTGAATGCCAGGTCCTGTGTACACCAGGTAAGGCTCAGTGTCCTCTGGAGCTCCTTGTGCATCTCCTCCTACCCACCTCACCTACCCAGTCCTGCAAACTTCTTAGCAGCTGAGTCTGATTTCTAGATCTTATTGAAGTATTAAGATCTCAGCATGTTTACTCTCCTCTTTTACTTAAATACTGATGCTTCAAGCAAGTGGATAGGGATGATGATGGTTCCCTGGTCCTGTTTCAGCCCTGCTGTGTGCTCACTACACTAGAATAACTCTTAAATACTCAAAAGCTTTTAAGTTGTTTGAAATCTGGGTTGTAACTTCGCAGGTAGGCTCTGTCTCAGTGGCATATCCTTCTATACTGCATAGCAAACACTCAAGTTAGACTTGTCTCAAGAAGAAAAGACCTGGGAGGTCTTGCACCCGCTGTGAACATGGCTCCTAGTTCCCTGATTTCCTGCCTTAACTCAGTCAAGTAGTAAAGTAATAAACCCTATGAAGTAGCAATCAAAGGTAGTTATTAAAATACTTTCTGTAGTTACTCTCTGCCTAAGAAGCTTCCATTGTTTTCTTAAAATGTTCAAATTGGTAAAGTATGTATTTTTAAAAGCTATTTCATGATACAGTAGCCAAAATATTAAATAATAAGGTAGCTCTGCTGCAGGTCTTAAAAAAGAGGTTTGTGGCAGCCACCACTGCTCTGCCCCTTATAACCAGCGGTGCAAAGCAGCTGTGCTTTAATGAACTTCAGCAACACCTGGGATTTACCAGTTTGACATTAACTTATGCGTCTGGTGCCTTTATTTTATTCATAGTTCAATCAGCCTAAGAGAGAGACTCGATTCTTACAGCCTTTCCTTGGAAACCAGTTCTGTACCATTAGCTGGTGGTGGAGCTCCATGTAGCCAGCCAAAGCTTTCACCTTTAATATGCTTCAGGTATTAGAGGATTCTTATTCAGTATCCAGTGTTCATTATTTAATGGTGGGATTAGAAACCTGACATGAAAAGTGGTTAATGGCAAAGTTATGACTGTGCTTTGCACAGGAATTGCTTTCTGGTAGAGTGGAGGAAATTGGGGCCTTTTTACAACACGCTAAAGTTTTCAAGATGCTTGAAGAACTTAAGGCCTCAGTGGTTAAGATCAGTAAAAAGCAAATCTCCATTTGACATATCTGCCACTTTAAATGAAGGGTTTGGCAACGCGCAGTCACCCTTTCAGGGGAAACTGGAGTAGTTCAACTAGACAGACGGCACGAGTAATTTTGGAACTGGAAAATAGGTCTGGTTTTAGGGTGGAATGTGAAAAATTAATGTGTTGAAACAAATGCTACTCGATTATAACATTTGGGTGTAATGTATGTGTTTATGCAAAAAGCATAAGAGAAATGTAAAAAACCTGCCCTCAGTGATCTTAGGCACACATGTAATCAAACCAATACGGAGTCATTTCTGGCCTGAATAAATACCATTATTCAAGCAGCATAACTTCCTCTTACTGACATGGAGTGCTGATAGCACATGAAGTGCTGATGGCACACAGGGTGCCACAATAAGCGGTGCATCATCCAGTTAAATTCAGGGCTTCAGGAGCTGGGAAAGGTTTGGATGAAGGCTGGTTCCATGGGGAAAACATGGCTGGTTTCCCCCCATGGCTTGTTAGGTGTGTGCTCTAACTGGTAGCAGCCCAAAGTGCCAGCTTCCCTGTATCTGCAAGGAAAACTGCCAGAAGCAGAGAGGGCTTTCTGCTGTGTCCGGTTTCTGTGGGCAGCAGGGGGATGAGGAACATTGCTTTCTCCTGGGAGAAGGAACCTTGGCAGAACTGGGTAATTCCACATGTAAGGAAAGCCGAGAGCCTTTGCTCTGCCTGTGGCACACTGTGCTGGGTGGCTCCACAGCCCAGCTTTGGTAGAAGCCTGCAGCCACTTAAGCAGAAACCAGTTTATTTACTTTCAGGGTTGGTCTAGTGGGTTTTAAGACTCAAATTAGCTCTTTTAAAAACATTTGATCCTACTTGGTAAACTTACAGTCAGTCTCTAGGCTTCAAGTAGTGCATGAAGTGCACACAGGGTCAACTCTGCTATTTAAGCCCATGTGGATGGGGATAGGAAGATGCACGAAGGCACCTTGAGTGCACTTACACAGAGGAAAGGAGGCACAGGCTCCAGGATGAGCAATACGAGAGATCCCCAGCTCTGGTGGAACAAGTGGCTGATGCTCGCTGATGACAGCAAAGAATGTTCCCTGGCATTTCTCAGTCATTAATCCAGCTCCAGGAGGTTTAGAACTGCCTCAGATTAGCTTTTCTTCCCACCCCTACTCTTCCCCATCTCCTTTCCTTTCATGGACTGAGGAAACCCCAGTGTCTCAAAAAGCAGCATCCCACTCCCAGCCCATGTGCTCAGGGTTGCTCCTCAACACACAGGGTGTGCTGGAGGATGCTCTGCCAGGGCCAAATCCCAACCTGGATCATTTCATGGAGCTTCTGCTCTGTGTGGGCCAGGAATGTGGGTCAGAGGATAAACGCTGCAATACCAGGGGTGTGAAAAGACCTGCATGGATAAGGTTGCTTAAAAGCCAGTCATGCTTTTTGTTTTCACAAAGCTCTTTCCAAAGTTTTCACAATAGCTCATTCTCCATAGGGGACAGAGCGTGTGAAAAGCCCAAATCCAGGGTGGTGCAAAGGCCTGATGCTTGATGGAGTTTGTGTTTGTGCTCTTGACATTCCTGAGTACTGGCATGTGTTGATAGCACACTAATGTGTAGGTACCTGTGTGTGCTTTAAAGGAAAATTATGTTTTCCTGGGCAGAGGATGATGCTGCCCTGCATACGAGATGGTGCATGTCAGTGCTTCTGCTGGCATGTGGGATGCACCACAAGAGCCAGCCAAAGGCTTGGCTAAACGCAGCCAGTGCCACCTCTGTAGGGGATTTATCCATGGTTTAATAAGGTTCAGAGGCTGCAGCAGGAATGTGTTTACTGTATTCTTTGAGCAATCTATGGGTGATTCTGCACATGAAATTCTGTGGGTGGCTATAACTAATCAAAGAGAATGATTTCCCTAATGAAGTCCTAATGAAGTCAGGCATGTGTTGGCTGCCTTGCTCCAGATGATTCCAGAGAGGTTTTGCTCCTAGCTGAATAAAAAGTTGGAATAAATAATTTAGCACATTAAATATATTAACTGATGACTATATATTATTAAATATAGGTTCTGAATTATAAATAATGGAATAAAAACCTGCATAAGAATTCTGAAAGGGGCAGAGGCTGGCTTGGTGCTCTGTAGTGCACATCCACATTGCTCTTCCCCACCTTTCAACTCCACATTCCTTCCTGCAAACCTCCCTGCTCCTTTCTGCAGATCAGGTGCCACTTTCCTCTGGCAGAGATTGGAGGAATCTGGGGCTTGTGCATTTCATAACCCCTGTAGACGTTTTGGCAAGGAAGGGACAAGATAACAATAAGATCCCTGCTGCCAAATATGTATTTCTTTCTACTCCCCACCCACTCCCCCACCTCCATGCTCTACAGTCAAAGCTCCTTTGTGCCTCTGGGGCTTTTGCTGTGACATGCTAGGTTTGTGTATCACTTATGACCTGTGTTGTTCCTTGCATAGTGACAGAACTTCTGCCTTGCCCTCAGCCCCTTCGAGCAGTGGGGGAACAGGGGGGAGCCCCTTTGTTCAAAGCACAGAAAGGCTGAAACATCATTTTTCTTTGGGGAATCATGTGGCAGTGTTACAGTTCTGCACCCAAATACAAGAACTGCTATGCACCGAGCAGGACGTGTACATGCTGCTCCTTTCATGTTGAGCTGCCTATTTATTCCCTGGTCTGATGCTGTAGTCCCCCTGCCTTCAGTCAAGTGTGGTCCAGCCACACAGAACCCATGGCTCCTGCTTTCCAGAATCCATGCTTTTTGTCCTGGAGGTTGGAGGAGTTATACCCACTGCCAGGAACAGCCTGGGCCACTGAGTGAGAGGTGAGAACTGGTAACTTAGATCTCCAGGTCTGTGGAAGTGCCTCCCATTCACTTAGTTAAAAGCTCATTTATCCATGTGCAATTTGATAGAATGCAAAGGCTAGAAAGATGCTTTGTGTATGTCTGGGCTGTTTTCTATGTGCCTGTCTTGGCTTGGAGAACTGCTGCTTGAAATCCTTGTGTGGTGACAATTTCAATTTAAAAGCTTTCTCTCATGTCATTGACTTTAAGAAGCTGGGTTTAGATGTACAGCTCTTTCTGAAATGTACTGTACAGCTGGAGTTTAACATAGAGAAAGCCTAACACTTGGTTTCACATGAAATGGGTATCCCAGGATTGATGTGTTTGCACAGCAATGGGGAAGCTTTAACACGTTCAGTGTGTTATTGCACAACCCATGACCATGGCTAGGATACTTTTAAGGAGGTGGGTGAGAACTGGTCACGCACATGTTGATGATAAATTTAGAAAGATAAATTAGTCTTTTCTTCTTTCAAAACAGCCAAGTTTGGAAAAATAACACCCTACTTGGCTAGAGAAGCACTGTCAAGTTTATTATGCATTAGAGCTAACCTCCATATAGCTCTGCAGCCCATACTGTTGACTCTCTGCCAGTTCTTAAAATATGTTCTGTAAACTAAGATCATGGTCAAGTTGGCTGTGTTCCCCTTTTCCTCTCTGTATTTGGGTGTTGGGGGGCTTATTTCCCCATTTGTTCCAAGGACTTGTAAGAATTGCTTTAAAAAGAGAAAAAGAAGTTAAAGGAAATGGAAATTTTCGAAGGAGTCTGTAACCATGAACGCTTCATGAACAGCGATGCTTGTTAGCACTTGGCAGCCTTAAGACCAGTGCTTACCAAGAAGAGCTGTTGAAACAGACCCCTGGTGTGAGCATAAAGCCTGGATGGTTTCCAGATCATGGAGAGCAAAGTGGTCATATATTAGAGAGCTCTTGAAAGTTTTATAACAGAGATTTCCTAATTCTCCCCCACCTCAAGGGAGAGGGGAGCATTCCCATGTAGCCTCCTAACACAGCATAGTCTGATCCTA